GAATGTAACACATAGTTACACATTTTAAGAAAACATACAAACAACTTAAAGAAAAAGTAAAAAAAAAAAAAAGGTTTAAAAAATTTAAATAAATAGAGTTTAAAACAAGACAGATCTGAATTCAAAATGACATGAGATCTACTAGGACAGTTTTTTTACGTCTGATACTGATGTTGAATATTTTAACATCTAAAGTAAAGATTGCCATTTGTGAAGCTCAATCTGAAAAAAGACTAATTGGAATGAAATTGATTAGAAAACAACTGAATATATGAAAAAAGCAAAGTTAGTCTTAAAAACATTTTTTTTCAATCAGGGTTTTTTGCAAGGTTTATTTTCAGAATTGCATTTTTTTTTTATAAAAAAACTAAACTCCATTTACAAATTGTGTAATTAACTAATTAGAAAAGATTAAATGTCATGTAAATATGAATCCTTTGCATTTCTTCACTTTTTTTGTTTTTGTAAAAAAAAAAAATCTTTAAGTATCTATTTTGTGAAAGACCAAAGGATTTGTCAGGATAATTATCATTGATGATGTGTGAGTTTATTACACCCTAATATTAGCTGCCTGTTGCGTGTCAGAATTTATGTTTTCCTCAATAGTTTATCTATTTAAGACAGTTTCTCTGTCCAGATATACAGTTATAATCTTCATTCTGTACAGGGCAAATATTTGGGAATGGAATGAAGGTGGCGTCTTTCAACTAAGAACAAAGTATAATATTTTGATAAGGATGGAGCCATGGATGTCTACTCATCCACTACCGTGTATGTTGTAATGATGTGACAGACTAGAGATGTATAAAATGCCTTTTTAACTGTTAATCGGGGCCACTCCCTGAGAGGTCAGCCGGTGGTAAGCAGCCGCCTTATGTAACTCTAAGCAACTTCTCTGATCAGACTAAAGGGCATATTAGACTTCTGCAACTGCACACATCAAATGTTGCTTGGGTCTGGTCGCGAACCAGTTTTTCTGGTATGCTTCTGCACCGTCGGTCTGGAATTTCTAGGGACGCACAGCAGTTTCCTGCCAATGCGCAAGGGGGAGCCTATTAGAGAACTCACAAGACCTTTGGCGGATGGTCACAAGGAGTGTTTATCTTCCAAAACAACAAAGGTGCGTCTGCAAGATATCACGGTCACAGAGATGGATCTAGAGTTGCTAGACATTGAAGAGGAACAGGTTCTTGCTGATCTCCCTCCAGGAGTTGGCAGAGACCTTGGCATTTTCATAAAATTTGTCTGAGGCATCGTACAAGTGGTTGAACTTGCGAACCTCCTTTATTAACGTTTCGTCATAGTTGTCCATTGTAGTTGTTCCTCGGTTTTTAAAAATGGAGCGCCCCGGCACCAAATCGAGAAGGACGACCACACAAACAGCCGGAAAACATACCAAGGACCAATCTGAGCTGCTTTTTGTCTGTGCACTTCCTCTTGAGTACTGCACAGGTTTGCAACCGTCCGACGCGTAGTCAGGATTTTTTTGAGGCGTGCGACAACAGCTGCAGAACCTCTGCGGGGGGGCGTGGTCACGCACGAAGACAGATTTGACGGTTGCAGAGGCTATGCGTCAGAAGCATAAATTGGCCTTAAGATTACAATTTCTATCAGAATCTGTTTTCGTGTCTCCTGGTTATTTAATACATATAAGTTATGAAATGTTATTTAAAGAGTTTGTCCCGAGTGATCTCTATTCAGGGAAAATAACCGGATAGAGAAAGCTTCAAGGTGTAGACACAGAGCCTATCTTTAACAGATTAAAAACCAACTTTCACCTCTGTTGAGAACAATGCTGTATTTAAATACTTCTGTAAGTCAGATGTCTCATTTTGGAGGAAAACGCCTCCAAATTCCCTCTTTTTTCATCAACAGTTGAATCTCACACGTTTCAATCCCTTATAATATTTTAATCTGAAATGAAGTCACCTAAACACAGGATTAATGACTGACTGAGAGGTTAGGCTTCCAACGGGGTGAAACGTGCTTTTTGTTTTTATGTACTCTATATGTAGAGCAGAGGAAACGGTGACAAAGCAAGAAGAATATGGAAGTAGGTGGAACGCTAAAGCAGGGAAAGAACAGCAGCGGAGGAGGCCTATAGGTGAAGGGTTGTCTCATTAATCTTAAAAGGGCACAGCGTAACTTTCCCAATGCAAATGAAACCATCAATCTTGCAGGTGAGATAGAGCGATGGGAAGATAGAGAGATCAGGAGGGTAACTTGGGATGTGGTGGGGGGGGGGAAAGAAAAACCGAATCCTCCGTGTGCCTTGGTGTCACGTCATTAAAGTCTCATAAAGGGCATTTCATCCAAAATTGGAAAGTAAAGTTTAACTAAAAGTCAAAGTAATTAAATTGTTTCAGATATGAAAGAGCCTCTGAACTTTGTGCTCCCAGTCTTCCTGCTATGAAAACCTAACTGTTTTCATCAGTCGAATTATGGGGAAACTACAATGTTTCCGATTTCTAAACAAGAACTGTGGGGAAATATTGACTTTTCTGGATGCACACAGCTGGATGTTTGCTGCTGAAAGCTGTGAATTCAGATATTCCTCTAAAACACATTTATTTCATTTTTAAAGCTATATTTCTGCCTGACAGGTTTATCCTTTCTGAGCGTCCTTGGGTCAAATATTGAACCTATCAGTAAAGAGAACAGTCTGCTTCCTGCCAGCAGTCTGCAAAACTGAAGAGGATATGATTACAATAAAATAATAAAAAAATTGAAATTTATTGATCTCACAATGGAGAAGTTAACTCTTTGCATTTAACCCACCCCCTCTGGGTAGCAGTGGGCTGTCTGTGCAGCATCCGGGTAGAAATCAGGGTTTAAGGGTCTTGCTCAGAGAGCCAGAGGATTACGAACTCACAACTTCAGGATTTCAGCTCAATACCCTATCACAGGGGCAGATTTAGAAAATCTGGGGCCATAGGCAAAGACAGGCAGCGGGGCCTCTGAATTGAGAAGACAACTCATAATACAGACCCATTATATAGATGCAGATATTTTCATAGAATAGACATCCATTATTTGTTCGATGTTTTGTCCCTCTCTTCTTTTCCCTTTTCTTGTTGTTTTAATTTCTATGTTTTGTACTCAGGCAAAAATGATTTTGGCCGCTGGTGGTTGGGGCTAATTTACTAGGCTAGCCTAACATCACTGGCATGAAGCAGGGCCTGAGCAGATCTGACCACCTGAGCAGATCATGTACCAACACCGGCTTGTTTTGTTTGTATGTCCAAAAAACGACTGGTGAAGTTGGACCAGCTAAAAGAGCGAGGTGCACGAGAACGCTGGGACCATTTTTCCACCTGGATCCCCACTCTTTTTCACCCTCATGTTCCTCCGTTGTCCTACAAACTTGCCCTCACTTCCTCACCGCCTCGGCCGTATCTAGACGCACAGCTAGTTCCTGATTGTCCCTCTTGCATTGTGGCGTGGAATAACATAGCACAGCTTCAATATTGGGCATAAATTAAAAATATCTCGACAAGCTCACTGTGACACACTGCTGCAGGAGGATAACCAGGCCTTAAGCCTGCCGCTAACAGCAGTCAGCAGCTTTTACCGACTTTGTTGAGCTCCTCTAGACTTAGCATGGCTCTTTTGGCTGCGCCTCTGATTAAAGTTACCACCCTCTGCCTTTCCAGGTTTGAAGATGTCACATGGTCCTTTAGTTGATTTACTTAGCATCTTTTTCCCTCTGCTGTTTCCCAGTCTTACAAATTACATTTATTGAGTATTAAGTTGAATTTTGAGGGGAAATAATTGCACTAGATCTTTATTCAGGAATGTCTGATACTGCACGCCACTCTTGTCAGATTTTTTTTTTGTTTTACTATCAGTGGCTTATGTCAGTCAGCATTTAGGAGGAGTTGAAATGTGAAATAGATCATATGATTTACAGACAAAAGGACTTGACAAGGGGAAAGGTGTTGAACAGAACAGCACAGAGCATTTCACAGGGAAACAAAACCAAACTGAAAGGCGCTTTGGGTGTAATTTCTTTATCTTGACGGCCTAAAAAAAACAAAGGCAGTCAGCATGTCTGTCTGTACATCGACAGGAAGAAATCCTTAACAAGACATGCTGTGGACTCTGACAGCTGATGAGGTCCAGTCTTTTTATGCTTGGCCTTGCAAAAGTGCAGGCCAGCAATGAACAGGTAAAGCAAAGGCCAGGTCTTTCTAATGGCGCCACACATTTTTTCCCAGTGGCTGTAGATGCTTGCTTTCTGTTGTATAGCTGTTCACACACACACGCCAAAGATTTTAGTAAGTTTGTATGGTATGAAGTGTCGACTGCTGGGCAGCTCAGCAGAGAGCCATGAGCCGCCCGTCCTCAGCCAGAGGAGGGGGGCTGGGGGCCGCTAACAGACATCCCAAGTCTCACGGAAGTTCAGGGAGTCTCCCTGATATAGATAGTTGTTCATGGATGCCCGCGAGTCAGATAAATCATATCGGATCTTAGACTCCGCAAGGTGGTTCCTGTTGGGGGGTTGCACTTTAGCTGACCAAAATCCCGGACAATTTTGAAATTCCCCCCGTACATTTTTTTAGGTATGAAAAGTAGGACATTTCCGGGAAAAAGAGGACGTCTGGTCACCCTACCACATCAACAACTAGAGGGTTTCAGTGAGTGAGTGCTTGTTGCTATGATGCGTCTTTGCTCAGCAGCTTTGCTCGTTGTAAACCAACCAATCAGCGCGCAGCTCATCTAAATATTCATGATCATACCATAAAAGGAAGAAAACCTGTCATTTCTTTCTAGGGCTTTTAACCAGGCTTGCATTAGGGCTCATATAACAGCAAATATGCCATTTTCAGCCTAACCAATATTGAACAACCTATTCAGAGACCTTAAGAACCAGCACCACATACCCTACAGAATCATTCAATGACCCCTTTAATTGAAACAAGATGTTTGTGAAATGGCAAGTGGATGTTATTCTCTGAATAATCAGCTTTGCTTTTGGTGTCTCTGTGTTTTCCCCTCAGCCCTGCAGACGACCCAGCCTCCCAAGGTCCTTTTTCCTCCAGAGAGACAAGACACAGTGATAGAAATCACACCTGGTAAGTAAAAATATATATATATTCTCTTATCTCAGTCCCGGAGTCTCATTGGACAAATGATCGTTCATACATTTCAGCTTGGCTATATAAAAAAAAACTTGAGTCCTTTTTTTCCCTCCAACTGGAAGGTCGTTGATAGGAATATCTGGCTTCTTTCCACAGCTCAGAAACATGCATATAAGGTTAATTGGTCAACTTAAGGAGTTGATGGTTGCTTATGTCTGTTTTCCTGTGGTTGACTGTGACTTGTCCAAGGCTTACTTACCATTTAGCCTTCTGGAATAAGATATGTAAAAACAGTCACATACATCACACCCTTCCCTTAATGCTGCATCTATGATTAAGATAACTGTCAATAGAAACAAATGCATAGCTGTCTAAAATTGTAGTTATGAATACATATAAATCTGTTCCTTGCTGTCAGCCCATACATACGTGTGACATTAGATGTTTCCCGTTAGAATACAAGTAGAGCCCAAAGTTACCAGCACAAATTATAAATGTCCCTTTTTGAAACCATACATGTAAAAGTCCCAATTTATCAGTACTAATCCCAAATTGAAGAATAAGCAAGAAAAAAAGAAAAAATCCCAAATATGTAAAAACGAATCACAGATTTATGAGTAAAAATCGAAAATGTATGAGTACAAATCTCAAATTTACCAAAAGTATGAGTCTGAAATTTACAATTACAAATCACAAATTTATGCGTACCAATCTCCAGTTTACAAGTACAAATCTGAAATGTAAGTATAATGTATAAATCTTAGTATAAATATGAGTATAAGTCTCATATTTACCAAAAATAGAAATTAAACATTTTAATATCAAATAACACATTTATAAGTACAAATCTCAAATATACCAAAATTACTAATCACAAATTTCAAAGTAAGAGTCAAACATTTAGGAGCACAAGTCTCAAATTTACAGATAAGAAATCATTAATTTTATAAAAAGTGCAAATCCATTGATTAAACTGTTTTACTCCTTATCAGCTGATTTGAAAGCTGTGCTCCAAACGTATGAAGGTAGATTTGTTTCTTTATCATTCAGTCAAAAAAAGTTTTCTTCAATTCAAAATATATTTTCAATTAAAAAAAAACCTTCACTTCAATCAAAAAATACATTTTCAATCAAAGAAAGAAAGTATTTGAATGCAAAAATATATTTGAGACTCAAAAAAAATACATTTGAACACTGCTTTCCTTTGATTGAATATGTTTTAATTGATAGAAATACAGTCTTTTTTGTTTAAAGCAGCTTTTTTATTGAAGTAACATTGTTTTTTGATTGGACATTTTTGGACATTGTTTTTTGATTGGGTAGGACATTTGTGTCTTTATTATTGAACCCTAAAAGAAGAACCAGGCTCAGTGTGAGCGGCCATCTGCTGAGGCCGACCGGGGTTCAAGGAGTCAGAAGCTTCAGGATGGAGTCACAGCTAAACAGGAACAGACGAGGCAAAGCTACTGAGAAAAAGCAGAGAGAGCATAACGTTAGAGATTGAACTAACAGATCCGCAGAGAGGGAGAATAGAGATAGAATGAAGCAGAATGATAAAATAGGGGTCCCTATGTCCTCCAGAAGTCTAAGCCTATAGCAGCATAACAATAGAAAACTCAGGATCACTTTTATGTATGAGTTGAAAAGGAAAAAATGCAAATCATAAATCTATTTACATTTATTCAATTACATTTACAAATTAAGACACCTACACATTTGCTTATAGTTAAAGTTATTTTACCCCATGCTCATCTGCCATGAACAAAAGCTGGAATCATGGAAATCATTAAGTCTTTAACTGAAGCAATATTAGAACCAATAAGTGATTAAAAAAATAAATAAATCCATGAACAGCTCTTAAGAGAGAGAATAGCACAGTATTGTGGTATTACAATAATTACCATGCCCTTTTCAAAATGAAACTGCTCTATGCATCCGCTTTCCAGTAGCTTCTAAAAATGGGATCATAAAGATAGTGGGTGGCAGAAGTCTCTAGGTAATATAGAGGAAGATATGCAAAAAAGGCCTGTCAGGTCTGCGGAGGAATGGAAGAAAACATCAATCAAGACAGTGTGTGAAAACTTTAAATATGCAGATATAGAAAGCTGTTTGTTTCCTGCGATAATTCAAAATGTTTGTTTGAAATGTGGCTGAAATACATCCCCAGAGCTTATGCTGCCTATTACCAAGCTTTACAGTGGAGGTAACTAACAGACGCCGACTGGGTCTGCCTTAATTATGCTATATTGGTTACTTTTGTTCTGTTTGCTGCTTTAACTGCTTTTATCTTAACCAGAATGTGGCTGTTAAAATGTTTTTGAGCAGCGGCTTGTTTGGTTATGGAATGGAATAGAGTTGCATATATCCAATTGACCACTCATGCTGATACCAAATCAAAACCAACTTTTAAAAACTAGAGAGATTTTCATGAAATTAGGAGCAGCGCAGGGCAGCATGATGTTAACATGGGTAGCAAGTCTAAAAGATGAAGCTTTACTGAGGCAAGCAAGAAAACAATGCAGACTATTTCACCTTTAAATGGCTTTAAAGGTGCATAAACACCTAAAAGGCTCTACAAAAAGAGACCAAACTCCATTTGATCTTTAAGAAAATATGGTTATATGCACCCAGCATCTGTCCTGATTGTGTTTAGATGGTTCTTTTTAAGCCTTAATAGAACTCCAGCACTGGGGCGCAATGAGCAAACATAAACAGTCTTGGCACCATCTGCTGGCAGTAGAGGGAACTATCAGAAAGCTAGACGGCAACAATTAAAAAGACAAAGACTGTCCTGAAATACCTCGTAGTACAGTGGCAGCTCTATCGTGGTTAAAGAACAACCAATATTAATTAAGTTAACAACAGTGCAACTACAGCAACTCTAAGTTCTTATCAATCATCCCCAGAGCTTCATATCAGAACACCAAGGAAAAAGAAAACCCCTTTTCTAAAAAGGAATAAATACTAAGGTGGAGGATGATGACGACCGGAGTAATGAGCTAAATGGAAGCAGTTGTACAGAGAATTGACCAGAAGAAGGAAACTGAGGGGAAATGGAGAGCGGATCTATAAATTCGGTGTTCAGCTTTAGCTTTGACTTCAGTGAACGCCAACCTTCATACTTTATTCCCAGCGCTATTCCATTCTGATCTCTTTTTGAATTATTTTTATTTGCACTGATTTGCACTGGATCTTGGACTTTCCTTCATTATTTTCACTATTTAGCGACAATGGGGTACTTCCTTGTTTCCCCCATGCTTACATGGACAGCACTGTACTTTTGTTGGTATTGAAAATGTACACCAGGAGTTGCTGGCCAATAGAGGGCGCTAGGGTACCACCCCACCCACCCAATGGCCCTGATTAAGACATGAAAAAATGTATAACAATTTTTTTATCATTAATTTTAATTAATGATACAATGTAAAATATTTCAAAATATATCTATGCATTTATGTACTTTTTAGATGTGCAAGATAAATATTTAATATTTAATGACTAGTAAAGCGTCATTCCATATATCGCTGGATTTGTGACGTACTGTATTTCAAAAATCTTTGCTCATTGACTCTTGTTAATAGTTGTCCATGCGCAGTAGCTCCTCTGCAATACAAAGGTATAGGAGAGCTTAGGGCACAGGAGAGCTGCACCCTGAGGTGACAGGAAATGTATTTGTTCACCACCTCCTGCCACAGCACAGACGTTTTGTAGGTGATTGATAGGTCGAGTCACAGGAGTTGGAGACGCATCCGAGAGAGAGAAATGGCGCAAGAATCGTCCTTTTCCAGGAACTGGTTTAGCTATAAGGCTTGGCTAACTGCATGCAGCGAGGCTAATGCTTTATTCTGCTTTTGCTGCCTCCTTTTTCAAACATCAGGATCTGACCCAGCATGGATAGAGACAGCTAGGACTGATTTAAAGCACTTTTTAGTAAAGGCAAAGAAGAATGAACTATCTGGGATTACATGGAAATTAATATTATAGTGTACTTTTTCTAAATGTTTGTTAATATGCATAGTTGTTCTTGAATAAACACATTCTCAGAAAATAGTTTTATATATTAACAGAATATAAAGCTGACTAATAGTTTCCACATTATTAAACTGGTATATTTATTTAGGTTTGTGACACAATATTGAGCCATGAAAAACAGATTTATCTCCACAAAGCCTCATAAGGACAAAATGTATGTGCAAAATGTAAACCTCTACATTATAATTTGTTTTTATAAAGGGTTTTTCTAATGTTTATTGTTGTTTTCATTCATATGAATATACTGTTCTGATAACTTAGTATACGTTTGATTAGTTTATGGTATACGTCTATTTTGAATGTATAGCCCCCCCTGGAGAAAACTCCACCAGCCTCCACTGAAGTACACAAAGGGCTTTTTGAGTACTAACAGTATAACAAATAATACACACGCAGGACACAATAATCTTACGTTACCGGCATATGGATTTAAAAATAAAAAGTCAAATATCAGACTTTATTATGGACAGATAATGGAGTGCAGAGTGGAGGCAGTGTTGCCCCATTAAAACCAATGGCAGCTACAAAACAGGTATACCGTTTAATGCCAGTAACTCTGACTGGACACCATTTCAATGATAGATCCTCAGAAGAATAAACCTCCTACTTTGATCTGCTGTGTAATACAGCTTTAGTTTATGTGGAATAAGTACCCAGTGCGGGTCTGATTCCAGGTCCATCAATGAACATCTGATACTTTGTAGATTAGAGTTTTTAAAGAAAATAAGCCTCTATGATTATCTAACCTGGTCAACAAATCAAAAGAACCTGATTTTAAAACCCCCAGAACTATCCCTTTAAGGTCTTTTAGAGCGTTTAACCCTCAGCTCTTACTGCGAATGCTTATGCAGTCCGCCTCAGCAGCTGGTATAGTTCCTGCAGGCTTGGTGAGGAGCTGCTTTACAAAGCCCAGCGGAGTCATTGCCTGGATCTGTGGGGAAGTCAGAGGTCAGGTTTGGTTA